ATTTTAGAATAAATCAGGAGTTCAATAAAGAAATTTTATTAAAATATTGAATTAAAAGTAAATTATTTTATTTATAGTATCAAGTCAATAATATGCTATCTTTCTTTTTTATAATTAATAACATATAATTCTAAATTTATAAATTAAATATAATTGTTATAACCATAATAATGCATATATATATTATTTTATTTGTAATAAATAATATTAATTTTTTTATATTATAAACTTAATGATTTTAAATATCAATTTGTCAATTTGACTTAAACTAAACATAAAAATAACCAATTTTATAAACATAAAATGATCTTTACTTTTTAAGTTAGAGTTCTTAAATAATGTTAATACTAATATAAGCTTATTAAATAAATAATTTTAAGTAATCTATATGATATATATTAATCTTTATTTTTTGATAACTCAAGATTAAAATTTTTAGTATTGATTTACATATCTCTGTAAATGTTTATTTAAAAAAATTGCATTAACTTATACAAAGAAATTTTTCTTATATAAAGATAATATAAAAATATTTTAAATCATTTTTTAGGTGATTTTAATACAAATTTATATAATAATATTATTAAACATTTTAAAAATATTTGATTTTAATTTTCTTAATTTATATGATATTTATTATGATACATCTATTATATTTCGTAAAGAAATATTCAAGTTCTTGCAATTTTTGCATTTGCTAATCTTTCTTCAGAATTTTTATATTACATATTAATACCTTTAAATTTTATATAATCATAAGATTATTATAGTAATATTTAATATCAATATCAAATTAAATCTAGAATTTATTAAAATTGCTATTATTTTTAATATTAAAACTATAGATCTATCTAAATAGGCAGAATTTGCTAAATATATTAACTTTATTATAATTATTACAATCTTAAGAGATTATAAAATCTACTAGTAACTTGTAATAATAAATAATTTATAGATAAATATTAAAAATACTATTATAGTTACTAATAAATAATATATTTCTTAAGTTTAGATTACCTTATGACCTTTTTAAAGAAAAATATAATTATTTAAATTTATAAATTGTTATTAAAAAGATCAATTTTTCTGTTCTTATGCTTAAAGATCATTTAATTTAATAATAAATTTAGTTTAACAATTTAATTTTATTAAATATTTATATTACTTTTAACAAATTAATTGTAAAAATAAATTTTTCTTTTTTTAATTTTTCTCTTATACCTTTTTTAAATAATGTTCTCAGTACTTAATAGACATTCATAAATGATTAACTTTTCTTATAAAGACTGACTTTTAAAAGATTAGAAAAGCTGAGATCAAATAATTTGTTAACAAGTAATGTGATAATTTTAAATCTACCTTTTATTAATGATTAATTTTATTCTAAATAGATAAAAATATCCTATAGTTATGGATGAACTGCTTATTGAAGAACCTTTCATACCAAAAGATTTACTATTGATCCAGCTGAATTTAAAAGTATACTATCAATTAATATCAAAACTTTGCTCTTTCTTACTTCTTAATAATATAGGATCTTTGCAATAGAAAAGAAAAACTGCCAGAAAAATCAATTTTACTTTTATATATTTAATATGATTTTTAGATCAAAATATGTTCAGATTTAGCATTAACTCATATGACAACTTTAATTCAACCAAGTATAATTAATTTATGCTATTTAAAAGATATGAATTTTAATAATTATTTTATTTTACAAATACCAAAAATAGTAATATACTGTATATACAATTTTTATTGCAAAAAAAATTTATTGTATTGTACTATATAAATCTAAGAAAGTTTACACAGGGTGTAAACATATCATGTGACCAATATTTGTCACAAGTGTCACACCTATACGCCTTTAATTTTTATTATTTATACTAGAGACAGAATTTTTTTGGTGAAAAATTCATATTCGTCACTCTTTATCCTTCACATAATCATCCCACAGGTAATTTTTTAATTTCTTAATGCAGATAAAAGTAATGTTAATGCCAGACGTATCACGTGATCCGTGTCCAAACACCCTTGTACAAATAGAAATTGCCTAAATCTAAAATACTATAATATAAATTTGTATGCCAATAAATCTCATTAAAATACGCCAAATTTCACTTCATCTTTTCTTTCTTGACATTTTATTATAATTCTCCTTTTGCATTTTGTTTTTAAAGAAAAAAAATAATAACGCGATTGATCGGCAACAATTGTATCAGGTCAAATTTGATTGGCTTGTAAACTGATCTTGGTCTGGTATTAAGCTTTAATAAAGGGTTCTTAAAAACTAATCAACGCCGCATTAAACTTTTCCAATTAATTTTTTTTTTTGCGAAATAAAAGATACTTAAAACTAATCAACGCGTTAAACTTCTCCATTTATTATTTGCGTAATAAATAAACTATACACCATGAGCACTTCAGAGTATTACTATGGCCAAAAGTGTAAGTCTTGCGTGGACGTTTTCTACTAGTTATATTTAAATATTAACCAACTTTTCGACCTTCTAGCAATTATTTCTTATTTAAAGGAGCGAAACTCATATCGTGGATTCTTGGATGCCAACCGTGATATCATCGTCGCTTCGATATCTTCTGCAGACACATGTGATAGTCTCGATAACAAGTGGGCTCGTCACTTACTGAAAGAAGCGGAATCACATTTGGATCAAAATAATTTTATCTTGTTGAAAAAGAAGGTGCTTTTTTTACACATATATATTGTATAGTGAGGCCAGACCGCGTCTTTGATTTAGGAAAATTACAAGATTTAGCAGCTTGGTATCTAATCAAAGTATTCAATAAGTTAGCATTGTTAATAAAGGACTACGAATCCTTCTCTTATTATTAATAAAAAAACTCGAGTAAATGTTAACGTTACTTTTCTCACAATAGGTAGAATTAGAACGTAAAAATAATAGGTTAAAGCCTTATTGGCAAGAGGCGCTCGAAGAACACAGAAGGGTAAGTAATAATACATTATGAAATTTTGCGTAATCGTAATTTACTAAACTAAGCGTTTATTACTATAGAGTATTAAAAAGCGAAAACAAGAAGATAAGGAAAATTTTGGTGTGACATTTGTTCAACTCGATTCATTTTATATTTATACGTGTTATATTTGTTAATTAGCCAGGTCTTAATTTTTTTACTAACTTAGATTCCGAGAAAGAAAGGAAGTCCACTAAAAAATCAAAAAAAATGTAAGAACGTGCAGTATAAAATTTTATTAATCAAGGTCCAACAGTACTCACTTTCACAATATTTTAATAGTTCCTTATCCTAGTATCAGAAGTTGGACGACTAGCGGAGTGATCAGTCCAGATCAAAGGGCTAAGTTCTACTATGCAGACCCAGCGGAAACCAACATTGAATTGGTGAATAAAATCTTAGAAGGTGAATTTGTGGCACTCCACGGTCCACGAGCGTCCGGAAAGTCAACACGAATATATCGTACCATGCAGCAATTAACAGAACGACATAATTGCCATTGTTTCTAGTAAATACGTTTCTTTTTCAATAAAGCACACAGCCTAAAAACTATACGTTAAAATCATTGTCTCTCCTAATTTTTCCTTTAGCATTACTTTACAAAACGTCGAAATTGACACTTGCGCAGCACGTTTCTGGTCTGATTTAGGAAGAAATCTACAAATATTGAATGTTTCTTTATTTAATCGTCCATCTATAAAGTCTGGAAGTGAGTTTGCCGCAGCATTTAACGAATGGAACTCCGTCGTCATCTTCGTAGATGAGTTTGATAGATTGTATGGTGCAATCGATAAAGTTCGTAACGAGTTCCTTGGTTGCTTTCGCACCATCAAGCACGCTATGGCCGCGAATTCGAATTATCCTATCCTTTCGGTAGTCGTTGTTGGAACTTTTGGAATTCTTGAGCTGAACTCAAGCAATGACTACGATTCACCATTCAACGTCCGAAACCCTCTCCAGAATCCTAATTTAACTAAAAAGCAAGTGCAAAAGCTTTTCGAAAAGTTCGAAATGGAACATAAGTTCAAAGTTTGTCCAGATATTATTGAAGATATCTACTTGCAGACAAATGGGTATGTTTTGCAGGCCAAAATTTAGACTATAAAAATCTTATTAATTTTTCTTTACAATGCACTTTTAACAGACACGCTAGCATGGTTTGCCTTTGCGGAATTTTGATAGAAAAAATGAGAATACTAGACGATGATGGTAATTTCAACTTCGCATCTTGGAAAGGCTTGGTTTTTAAATCGTTGAATAAGAACATTTATGGGTATAGCACTTTCGAGAGGATAATAAAAGATCTTCTCAAGGAGAATTCAAGACCAGCAGTGGACCTCTTGCATTTACAATTTCTCCCAAATCCCGAACCCGTTACTATCAGAAATTTACAGGATCTAATTCAGGCCTGTCATCTCGCTAGAAATGGGGTTTTGATCACTGTAGACAATCAAAATGACACATTCAAGATGTCCTCACCTCTCTTACGCTCTGTTATATTACGTTATGTCCTACCTGATATATTCAAGTACTGCCCACCAAATGAAATACCAAAGCGTCCCGATCAAAGCATAAACTTGCTTAGTGCTTTAAAAGATGCAGTTTGTACCTTCGAAAAACAAAATATCAAATTGGCAGCTTTTCACTCGCATAAGAAAGCACAGGTACCTGTTGGTGGATCTACTAACGTATTGGTTCCTCGAGAGAGCGTATACCAACAGCAGCTTGCAGGCATTTTTACAAATTGGATTTCATCACTAGGGTTCGAAATTATGAGTCAATATCACATAACAGAAAGGAAAACACACCGTTATAGCGACTTGGTGATAACAGCACCTTCCAATTGGCCTGGCCAACCAACATCAATCCTTGAGCTCCTTGCCACTTCAACTAGAAAATATTTGGAAGAACATTTTGAACGAACTCTCAAATATGCTCAATCACTTAAACAAAGTCTTAATATTCGTGATGTTTGGATCGTCCACTTTACATGTGGAGACGAACCAAACCATCACTGGCCAAGTAAAGAACAGCGGGATAAGGGATTGAATGCAGTGATATTTTGGCATAACCAAGATTTCACAAGCGTATATATGAGTGCTCGTTACAATGACGAAGATGGTCAGATGGTGGAGGTTAGTAAGGAATACATCGTTCCGATAAAGGACAACTAAATTTATTTTATAATTTATTATTTATTGTAATATTGACCCTGGTGGGTGATAATTTTTTGATGCACATATGCATATATCCTTGCGCAAAATAATCGTATTATTTTCAAACAATATGATGACAAATGGTTGAAAATTTAAATAGATGGCGGGCTTAATTAGTTTTATGAATTATAGATGAAAGAATCTTTAATAATTGGAATTTATCAAAATGGGAATTAGAAAATAGATGTCATTAATACTTATAATAGATTTTTTTTCGGGTGATTTTTTCCCGTAAAAGCTGAGGGCTCGCAAAATTTGAGACGAAAGACCAATATTATTTTTTTATTGGAATCCCATTCATTAACAACTAATTATCATTGTAAAAAGATAAATACGTTTAATTATAGAGGAAATTCTATTATAGCGAATTTTTCTATGATACATAATTTAATAGCAGTTAATATAGAGTATAGTTAATCATATCCGTAGTTTATGATTTTGGTAATTTAGAAATTCTCCATTAATGGAGTGGATCCATATTCTCAATTTACAAGATTAGAAAAAAATAACAGAGGAGAATATGGCATTGTTTATCGGCGGCAACTATATTATTGCGATAAAATATCAGCAGAAGTTTTTAAATGAGGTATTTACTTAATATGTTTCTTATAAAATACTTTTACTTAATATTTGTTAAATTATTGACTTTTATTATAATTTTAGACGCTATATTTTATCATAAGAATTGGAGTTTTACAAATATAATTGAATTCTTTGGAATTACACAAGATCCTGAGACAAAGTGTTTATGTTAATAAAGACGTATGCAGGAAGAGAAAATTTGTATAATTGTTTACAAAATAATTTTAAAGATATAATATGGAAGGATAAACGTAATATGTCAATAGGGTAATTATATTTAATACATTAATTATATTTATTAAACCTTAATTAATTAATTAATATACTTAGATTTTTAGACTTCGTGACATTCATGAAAAATGTTTTACATTGAGTGGTGTATTGGAAGATTATCACAACCGCGGATTTTATTTCATAAAATAATGAAATATATGGTGTCATATCTTATATTGCACCTGAATATTTAATGGTGCTCAACTTTCAAAAAAAACTGATTTTTATTTTAGGTGCAATCATGTGGGAAATAAAATCAGGCTGTAAATCTTTGCCAATGTTGTACATACATAATAATAACCTTATATATGTTAGGATCCTGAACCTTCAAAAAGACCTTTAATAAAATTTTTTAGTTTGTGTAAATACTGAAGATATGATATGAAAAGAAAGATTGGAATTAAATACAAACTTGGTCCCGAATTTAGTGAAAGTCTCATCCAAAATTATTATTACGAGCAGATGCATTAAGTTCTTTATTTTTCAAAGCCTTCATCCATAAATATATATTTGACAAATTAAATGAGGCTGTACTTAGTATTGTTATCTTTTTATGAAGACTAATTAACGAATAAGAAAGTATGATCATGAACGTGCCCAAGATTAAACAAAAAAAACGGGTGAATAAACATTTTAAATTCTGATCGGGATTCACAATTTCTATGGAAAAAGCATTATAAAATTCGAAATGGATATTTAGACAAAAATAAATCACCAAACATTAATTTTTAAACCACAAATCATTTTCCACTGTAGTTTCTTTTGAGATAAATTGAAGCGACATTTCGCTTATTAATAATTAAGTTCTTGAATTCTTTCGCATCAAAATATCTCCTTCAATTTTGAAAATTCCAAGAAAATTACAATTAATTAATTAAACTATATAATATTTCATTTCATTTTAAAACTCATGTTTTTAGTACATTGTTGAAAATACCTTAATTTCAATGATATAAATTTTTTCACTTAAAATACATTTGCAACAAAATTTTTTATTGTTCTAAAATAAAGTATTTGACTTCAAAATAATATAAATTTTGATATCTTTTATTCATTTTAGAGTAACATTCTCGAAAATTCATATGTGTATAAACACTTTTCTCAGTAATTCCAGCACTTTCAATAATATCCCTATAAAAATGTTTTATGAATGTGTTCCGGTTTCTGTTTTCCGAAAATATTTCGATTTTCAGATTCTAATTTTGCTCCGAAAAGTGATCATTATCCGAAAGTGCTCAAATTAGATTCTTAATGGCCAAAGAATTGTCAAAAACGGGCAATTTAAAAACTATTGCTGAGGAAATTAGAACTTATTCTTTAATCTTATTCTTATTTGAATTATTGTTTGATATAAACGGAATATTTATCAGGTGATTTACAATAGATATTATCCGAAAGTGCTCAGTAAATTTTATTGAGTATTATCAGGTTATTTACAATTGTTATTATCCGAAAGCACTCAAATTAGATTCAGTAGATTTTATTAAAATTGCAGGAATGGAATGTAAACGGTATTATATTGACAAGATATTATCCGAAAGCACTTAAAAAGCGTAAATAATGAATTTTTAATAACAATTAATAACTATCTATTTTTTACCATTTTTACAAAGTGTTTCGAGTTGTAATTTGGTTATTAGCTGCTTCAACTACTTTTTTCAAACTTGCTCTTGATACTCTAGTGGATGTTCTTCGGATTCCTATATTTATTATTAAATATAAATTGTAAAATTGTTATAAATCATCAAACGTGAATTCTTATTGTTTAAATACCAGAATTTGCATCATTTTGTACTAGTGAAGATGTTTGGATGACATTCACTTTGGAATCATCAATTTTTATTTCACTAAGAATTTTACTTGAAGGTTTTGCTGAAATTAGATGATTTTTTCTTAACAGTTTCAGGCGAAGACAATTGAAAATTCGCATCAATGCTTGGTAATGGTTCTGAAATTGGTGCAGGTGGATTTGGCTTCATTTTCTTGAACTTTAGGTAGGCGGTAGCAAGAAATTTAATTTCAACAGAATTTCTAACGATTTTTAATATTTGTATAGCTCATTATTTTAACCTTATTTCTCATGATATATTAAAATATTCTTTTGCAAAAAAAACCATTCAATACTGTAATATGTTAGTTACATATTTTAAAAAATCACATATTTGTGGTGAT